TTTCCACTACGACTGTAGTTACATTATTAACTACTTGGGGAAGCGATTCCGAGTGGCTCCTTTTTTTGGCATCATGTGGCTCAGGTGGTACCAGCTGGTGTGATATTTGGGCCAACACGTGCCAATATCTGCCAAGCACAAGCAGCTACTAAGCTAATGGAGAATGCATAAAGTCCATTAAAAGTATTTTCAAGATAAAATATCTCTGCGTTTATGTGGTCATAAACAGAAGATTGATATTTTGCAGTGAGATTTGAGCACAATGTGTGCTTTGGCTCAGTTGGGAAGACCAGTTCAGTGAGTGAATTAAGCGCTCTGTAGTTTAGCCTTGTCAGTCTGCTCGATGACGTACTTGTGCAATCATTGTCGTGTCTGCATTTTTGGATGCATCCTATCTCTTCCACTTAATCAGAAAATATTGTGGAGGTGTACCTTACGTTATGTCCTGTATGTGACATTCTGAAAACATGAGTCATGATTTTATTTCAAGTACGCAAATGAACTCCAGGATTTGGGAACATCTGCGTTTCCGCTTGGGAGGATTTGTGGTAACAGTATGGATCCACCACATCTTCCCAGTTGAGTCAGAACATTTGAACTGTAACATGATATTTTGAATACTTTGTTCCATGGTTTCAGGGTGTGTGTTGGCAAAAATACCAAAATGGCAGCATTCAAAGTGTGGTATGAGATTTAGGAGATGAAGGGGATCCTCCATCTTCCCTGGCTGATGAGGTGACTGGACCTTTGGATATCAATCTGAAGTGTTTTGTGGACACTTTTACCCATGCCCAACTCTGCAGTCTAATGCACAATTTTATTTTGTACAATCTAGATCATTATGTTTTATAGCTAATAAAGCCCCTAAATTTACTCGACAAGACATTTAAATTTTACATGAGAAACTAACAGGTTGGATGTATGATGTATAAATGAATTTCTCTATTAAATGAGATTCGCTTTCTTTCTGGACTGTCTCAGCCTGGTTTGGACAGTCAGCTAAACTCATCTTCTACACCACGACTCTGAAGACGTTACTCTTGGTCCACAGGTTTAATAATGCAGAAATAGGTGAAACTGTAACATACAGTACGAGGCGATATTACTTTCAATTCACAACCAACTAAATAAGCTAACATTACCTCAACCGCTATAGTAACAAGACACCATTGTGCTAACGCAATTAGCGAGCGCTAGTATAAATCTTAACATTTTTTATGCACGTCGCCGAATAGCATTTTCTTACATAAAGCGTCACAGAACTGTTCATCGATAACAACAAAAACTTGTACATACCCACGATGTTATCAAAGGCGTAAGATGTGTGTGGATTGTGCTGGATTCGACTCGACCACCATCACGTTTCTCTCTTGTTGACGAGCTGTCGCTTTACTTCCTGCTCCCGCGTACGCATTTTCCTCTTTGATGACATCACTTCCGGTGCGAACTACGCTGCTCTGAGTGTAACTTAAATGCAACATTTGACCTTAAATTGACTTTAAATTGCGAACAGAACACTTTCATTGCGCGACTCTCAAACGCTCATTGAACCCTCACTTTATTAGCTTAATGCTAACACATAAGGGGAACTAATGTGTATATATATATATATACAGTATCAGATTTTTTTTTAAACCACAAATGTTCAGAAAAAAAAATTGACATCCAATATAATAGTCACAGCCATCTATTCAAGGAGCTCAGACGTCTATACTGTACAGACGTGTATGTATAGATCCGTCTGTCTGCTGCATGCTGCTCCCAAGTGGCCTCAAGTTATTTACATTACGAGAACGGTCAACCGAATTAAACTCGTATTTCTAAGCATCACTGTAAAGGGGTTAAGCAACTGGGGAAGGAAAGAGAGAACAATGGGCACAACAACAACTGCATCAGTCCCATGATGACCCCAACGATACTGGTCCACTTCTACTACCGATGAAAACAAACAAATAACTAAACAACAGCGTATGCTAACCTACCTTGACACAGCGAATGTGTCTTCAGAAAATCCAACCAATAATTGCCACATTGTAGCGGACTGGCCTCCAAGTGGGTCAAACCAGTGGTGGTGTATATGTCTATCTAAAACAGCATGACGCATAAGAATGTTCCATTTAAAATGCAGTCGGTGACTAAAGTGTCTGTGCGGTGTGGCACATGCGAGAGGCATACGGACTATGGAATCACCAAAGCAACGAGGCACAACATCAAACTTCCATGCCCTCGCTTACATGGTTTGAGGTTGCTCCAGCTTGTCTCTCTGAGTAAAAATGGGTCACATGCTGCAGTGAGTGGCGAGGATAAGGGCAGTCTTAATAATAGGAACTGAAGGCGTTGTATGTATTGTACAGGGTGTCCCTGAACTCTGGACAGTGGAGACATACTGTAGGGCAACAATGTGGCATTAGAGCAGCAAGTTCATGTGAATCTTGCAAACACAGCGCATCGACCTTTGCTTCACAAATGTTGCAAATCATATTAAAGTTACATTCTGGAGGAATAAAATGAAATGTCTTTTCTTGAAAATAAAGGGGGTAAATGGGCGCATGCTATTCGCAGGGGGTTAGGAATAGCGAAAATTCGCGTAGAATTGACGGCCATTACAAGTGCATTTGGATTTATTTTTGTTTTGTTTTTTTAGACAGAACCCTAAACATTTTTTTGAAAAATAACTTGGAACACTTGACTCTCAGATCATCTTTTCTCGTTGAAACACACACTCATAATACAGTACGGTACTTTATGAAAATATAGAGTCATAACATAGTGAAATGGAATGTAAAGATTTAAACAACAAATCATGATTTAATGCTGCAAACCAATTCATTGTACTTCTCCTTATGGTCTGCCCACGGTGGCCACCAGGAGGCAGTATAATACAGTCATGCCATTACAAATGAAGAACAGTAGTACTGTACTACAACTGTAAGTGACTCAGTAAGATGCTATAATTTTAAGTTGGGTCACCTGTATCTCGAGGTACAACTGTATGTTGGGACACGGCAAGTCGCAAAAACAACTGTATTGATGTCCCTTTCAGAGTCTTTTTTTTTTTCCTATTCTACCAGACGAATATCAGTGACGGAAAAAAGAAATTGAACTTCACACGCAACTTTGTCCCAACTGCTCAGTAACAATATGGCAAAGTAGACGCACTACCACACCCATTAATCAAAGAGGACTAGAATACATATTGGGAGCTCACGTTATTAGCTTTGTTTCAACCCCATTTTACCATCGTTCGATTCAAAATGTTACTCGAGAGTCCGTGAATGTCTTATGACGTAGCTTATTTCTATTTTCTTTTCAAAAAAATGTATCATAACCGTGACAACCATGATACTAATAATACAAACTGTCATTATTGTTATCCCAGTACGATTATAGCATGTCCTCACAGATACAGAACGGAACTGTCCAGAACATCAAAATTAACCCCCCGCCCCCCACCCCCGCAAAAAAAAAAAAAACAACTATTTTTACTAGTCCAAAATATACAGTGTTTGCACAAGGCAAAGAGAAGCAGGGACGGACACTTGTTGACACACTAACAGTTGCATAATTTAAAACATCACGTCCACCTTCTCTGTATTTCAGTACTATTTGACAGGTCAAAGGATAGTGTTAAAGTAAAGGGGGCGGGGGGTGGGGGGAGCGAATTTTCATGATCCAGTTTTTCTGGCACATGAAAATGTGTTACAAGCATGCAGGAACGCTGTTAATTACTATGCATAGTCTGACAGGTCCATCACAAGGCGCTGTATTTATGTATGAATGTGTACGAGTGTGGTGATTTATGATCATGGCTACACAAGAACTAACTCGCAAGAAATCGCACCAAAGATAAAAGGGAGTGAGAGGGTTAGTAGGGACAAAGCTGATTTCGATTATATTCAGGAAATCTAAAAGCTGCGGCAAGGAAAAACTTATCACAAAAAAGTTGTAAAGGGGTGGAAAATTTGAGGTTAAGCGGCGGAATTTTGGAACCATTTTAAATTCTTTCCATAAACTTTGGAAATCAGGGTATTTTAAGCGAAAAAAAAATGTCATATTTGCGCCTAAGTGTCAAATTGAGCAGATACAAAAGATATTTCGCCTTGCCCTCATGCAAGCCTACTTTGATTGTTTCATTCCCCCCCGGACTAGCCACATTTCTGAGGCTTGCACCCTTACCTCTAACTATGGCTCACCACCGAAGGAAAAAAAAATCTATAAAAAAATATGTGCAGCCTGTTTAAATCCGCTCATAACTGGCACCCATTGAAGTGCATTGGGGGGGAACAAAAAAAAACTTCGTAGGGAGAGTTAAAAAAATATGTGCTATTTTTCAAAAAACAAGGGTTGCCCCACCTCCCACCCCAAAAAAGACAATACCAAAAAATTGATTGGATTATTTCCATTTGGTCCCATAGAAAGTTTCCAACTTCAAAAATACCTGGCATTTTGCAACCCTCATCACTCACACAAAGAGGAAGCTCAAGAGGAATCAAATTAATAGAAATAACAGTTGAATTTGTTTTATTTGCAAAAAAGTTATTTACATTATGTACAGAAACACACCCCACAGAACATACAGTAACACTCTGCACAAAAACAGTCATGTGCAATGAGATTGGGACCGCTTCCAAATGTACAGTGTATCAGTAATCTCATTCAGCAGCAGAAAGGCACACTTGTTGGTCACAGTCACCCCAGACATACAATTACTGCATCTAAGAAACCATTCAACACTATTATGGGATGTGCTATGATAAATAACATTGGTCTTGCAGTGCTTCAATTTTGTTTTCCATAAATTAAAAAAAAAAAAAAAAAAAAAAAAAAAAAAAAAAAAAAAAAAAAAAAAAAAAAAAAAAAAAAAAAAAAAAAAAAAAAAAAAAAAAAAAAAAAAAAAAAAAAAAAAAAAAAAAAAAAAAAAAAAAAAAAAAAAAAAAAAAAAAAAAAAAAAAAAAAAAAAAAAAAAAAAAAAAAAAAAAAAAAAAAAAAAAAAAAAAAAAAAAAAAAAAAAAAAAAAAAAAAAAAAAAAAAAAAAGACATTTAAAATGTACAGTACAGAGACTACAATAGCTGGTGTATTTCCATTGACAGACGTTCTACCTAATTTAAAAGAACATTCCGTAACTCTCGAGTGATCTTCCAAAGACCGCATTGACCTCAGTTCCCTGCCTGGCCTCTCTAGGCAAGAGCAAGAGCTCCAAGTTTCCAGGAACCAACAATTTCAGGTGCACTTTAAAATGTCCGACACCTCAAACCTCTCCCACTGTGCGCTGATCCTTCCTCCTCCGTTTGAAAAAGTGCTCAGATAAAGTGAAGGCTCGCTTTAGCGATGTTGGGTCCCCGTGGTCATGGTGCATCAATTTGTAAGAAGCGTCAGGGCCTTACATGGGCAGCCTGTGCATGAAGAAAAGAAAAAAAAATTTGAGTGGAAGAATCCACTGCTTTTTTTCTCTACACAAGGCTCATTTAAGGATAAATAAGTAAAATGTAAAAAGTAGCCCAAATACAAGACAAGACGGCAAATGAAGAGCAATATGCTGGCAAAGGAAAAAAAAGAAAATAGAAGTAACGCTGGCAAAAGCGGAAGGAGAGAAGTCCAGACAATGCTGGCAAGTTAAGTTACAGTCATAGCCAAGTTGGCGAAAGAAGAGCAATATACTGGTAAAGAATTGTGAGCAAAGCTGGCAAAAGTAGAGGAAACTGAAGTGGAACAGCAAATAGGAAGTCAATGGCAATCACAGAAGATATGCTTGCTAAAGAAGGGCAAGTCTAAACAAAGCTGGCAAAAAAAGGGGAAGGCCAATCAGTGTTGGCAGTTAAGTTGGAGTAGTACGAGCAAGCTGGCAAAATCAGATGAAAAAAAACAGAAACTAGATTATAAAACTTGTTTGAAAAGGTTTGACAAAAGGCTCCCGATTTGGTTTCTTACCGTTTTCTTGGTTTCACTTCCCACCCGTCGCGACACTTGACAAACGTTAGCGATTCACCGGGTGAAATTTCGGTTTTCAACGGGTCCTGGGCACAGAAGGTAAACCTGCAAAAAACCAAGAATCCATTAGCGGACATATTTAACATCAACTGTGTGTTCACCACCCATCCAGCACCACTCACTTCTTCTGAGTTTCTCCGGCTTTCACGCGAATCCGTCGGACCTCCAGCACAGGTTTGGAAGGATTGCCATTCCAGCCCCAGAAGCTGCTCTTGATCTTCCTCCACACAGAGTACAAGGACTCGGCGTCACCTTCCCAACTCAGGTGGATCCTTAGCAGGTCGCCGATGTCTTGTTCGGTGAACACCAAGAAGGTGTTGGTCAAGTTCAAGCCTATGGAGTTGTCATGCCTATGCGACAAAAAAACGTAGTGAACAGAGTTAGACTGAGTCTGCTTACCGAGCAACATTGTTTGGAGGTACTTTTAACGTGGCACTCACACGTCAACAAAGATGTCTTCCGTGTCATTATGAGCGCCGATCAACTTGACGTGGAATATCGGGTCCGCGTTGTCCGCCTGCTTCCTGTTGAACACGTGCATCTTCATCTGGTAGTGGTAACCTTTAGAACGCAGTTGGTGTTAATGATTCAACAAGTCATTCATGTGCAATCACGTGACTTTAGGTTAATAATAACAAGACGCAATAAAGAGGGGGGGTGTGCTGTTGCTCGGGATGTTGAGGGAAATTTTTAAATAGCTTCTTGAACCAGGCTAGTTTTTGGGGAAAAAAAAGGACATAGAAGCTCGACAGGTAAAGCAAAATAAGCAATGTTGGTCAGGTGACAAAAGAAGATGTTAGGGAAATGAGTTGGTCAGGGAAAACAAGCCGAAGCTAACCTAGCAATAGAATAATTAAAGGCAATGCTGTCAAAAGAAGTCTAAGCCAAGTTGCCAAAAGAAAACTAAATAGAAAAAATGGTGGCCAAAGTAGTTGATGCCAAGCTTGCAAAAAAAAAAAAGGGAGAGTAGTTTGGGCGAAGGTGTTGTACTTGGTCTAGCAAAACAAGCTGAAGCTAACAAGGCTAGCGAAAAAGATTACAAGCAATGCTGACAAAATAAGTCAAAACTACGTTGCCGAAAGAAAAAGTTGAAGCAAAGGTGGTAGTAGAACATATACCTGTACTAGCAAAACCAAAAAAAACAAAACAAAAAGAATACAAGCAAAATAATTCTTTGCTAGCAGAAAAAAAAAAGAAAAATGTGAATGGAACACGAGCAAACCAAGTCTTTGCTAGCCAAAAAATAAAATAAAATAAAAAAATTGTAAAAAAAGGCTAAAGGGAATGCAAGCGAAATAGGTCTGCTGTCCAAAAAAAAAAAAAAAAAAAAAAAAAAAAAAGGGGCTTCTATATTTTTGCCTGTAAATGTGTACTTATGCTTATTGGCCAGCATTATTTTATCTTCCCCTCAGCTTTGAATTATTTCCCTCGCATTTATTTTGTCAGGATACTTGCACTAATTATTTTGCAAGCATGACGAACTGTGACTTCTTGCACCATCATTGCTTCGACTTCCACTTTGTCAGCTTTACTGGCAAAAAGAGGTGGAAGTCAAAGCAATGCTGGCTTCCTGTTTGAACAATAAAGTTCTGAGTATCTAAGCGCAATACCGGGAGATGACGACTCACCTCCAAAGGGAGTGTCGGCACGCGTCTTCAGGTACATTTTGCTGTTGCGTCTCTTGCGCATCTTGCGGGCCTCGTAGCCAATGTTGTTGCAGCGGTTTTTGCGGCAGCTCAGGCAGATGCCCTTCTTGAAGCGGTCCGGGTCGGTGCACTGGTACGCGAAGCTCACATGGTCTCGGTTCATCAGCGAGTCAACAAAAAGGTGGACAGCTCGCTCGTGCTCGCATTTCATCACATCCATGAAGTCTGGATCAAGGAGGGTGGAGGACGCCGGCATTAAAAACAGATGGACGAAGGAAGTCAAGCTCACCGATTTCCAGCCCGACTTACTTCCAGCCATGGCCAGCACGTCGCCCAATGAGCACCCGGGTTGGACTTCGCCTCCGTTGGGGTAGATGTCCACGTCCCCGATGGGCTGTTGGATCCCGATGCTCACTCCTAAAGTTCCGCGGTTGTACGTGTGGAGGACGTCCACAAAGTCGGCATCATCCGGGGAAAGGCGCTTCTCTTGCTCCACGCCCTCAAACAACGGCCCCGCTGGGTCCAAACCTAATCGCAATGACCACGTATCACACTGATTAGGTTAACTTAGGGCAAGACTCTAAAGTGGGGTACACTTATATCAAATGTCAGGCATTCCCCCTAAAATTGAAGAGTGCAAAGACCCATTTAGAATGTCGCTAGAAAGATAATCCTGAGCGACTATAGCATGGTGCGGTGTGTTCAGAATTATTTTTTTTTCCTTCCCTGAGCTGCTCAGACAACAATCACATTTGTGTCGTCAACAGCGAGTTCAATATATATGATGCTTATGCATGCCCAAGACAGTCGAGCTACAGATTTATGATTTTGACAGGAAAGGCCAAGTTTTTTTGGTAGCCATTATCGCTGAGTCTTTATTCCCTGAGGTGCATATCATGCAGAATTCTAAATGTGCTCAATATTTACAATGGCAAACCATGCGTGCGGTCAAATTCAACATTTACAATCATAAATTCTTGTTGGTGGTTAAGACCGAGCTCAATATTGCCGAGAGCAAATCCCTACGTGATAGTTGACACAGAGTTTGGCGGAAGAATAGCTAATTATCATCACGTGTGTGTGTGTGTGTGTGTGTGTGTGTGTGTGTGTGTGTGTGTGTGTGTGTGTGTCTGTGTGTGTGAGTGCGTGTGTTGGTCATCTGGAGCACGCGCGCGATAGCACGCACACAGACTATAAGGATCAGTGAGCAGATTTGTTTTCCTCTTCATATGGGCTCACTCACATTTTCAAACTTGGTATGCTTTAAGAGAGGACCTATGCACAACATACCTGTGATTCTCCCCACGGATCCTCGCACATGTGTACCAGCATAGCCCGCGACGTGAGCCCCTAAACTGTAACCAATCAGGTGCACCTTCTCCAGAGGCAAATCCAGCTCATCCTGTTAAAGAAAAAAAAATGACGACATCGGCAGCTGCTACAACGAACAAATGCCGGTTGTTAGCCAGCCACGCTCAGTTCACATGGACAAGGCTTTCTTCCACGCTACGCCGCCTTTGCCATCTGTCTTGGCGGAATACTCTTTGTCCACCCTTAAAGCGTGGAAGCAGCCCAAAATCCCTTTCGGGCTTGGCATTCTGTGGACTGGTCCCATTTTAATATGGTACCAGAGCAGCATTTGACTGAGCCAGTGTGAGCTAGAGTTTCAGGGTAGTGATGTGATGGTACTTCAATACAGGGTAGATACATCCATTTCCTCAGTAGGGTAACGGGAGACCTGGAGCTTATCCCTGGTGACACCCTGGACTGGTCTAAAACCAATCACGGGACACAAGGAAAAACAACCACTCACTTTGACATCCAAGGACAATTTGGAGTATTCAACTAACATGCTCATTTGTCAAACGGAGGCGGAAGCTGTGAGGCAGAACTGCGAGGCAGACGTGCAAACCACTAGGGCACCATGCCATTTTCAATAATCTTTTTTCTTGTTATCTTTTTCTAAGATCATGGATCTCATGAGATGTACATAATGTGTAATGTTCCTTGGGCCTTTTTTCCTCTTTATTTAAACATGAGGCTCATTCTTGAGCAAGTCTGCATGAGGCCTTCAGGAGCATTACAATTTCAGTTCGTCAGGTGATATTTTGCCAAGGACCAAGTACCTGGAGCCAGTCGAGCATGGTGGCGATGTCCTTGCCGACGGTGTGTGTGTAGTTGACGGCATCTTGGTACAGCTGCTGGGCCATGGAGATCCAGTCCACTACAACCACATTGGCCTCGCTCTCACGCTTCATGACGGCGGCCACCAGTTTGTGCATCCAGCTCTCAAACATACCGCTCATCTAGATAAGAAAACACGCAGGCGCTACCTTTAATCCGGGGCCTTTTTCGCACATCTGTTAAGACACATTCTGACAAATGGAAAAATGGTTTCAACTGACTGTCCAGCCGTGGATGATGAAGATGGTCTTGGCTGTGGCGTTGAAGCCGCACTGTTGCAGACAGTCCTTGTTTCCAGCATTTAGGTAGCAGCCCTTCTGGTCCAGATCCAAACTCTTCCTCATGTTGTACTTGACGGTGACATCGACACTCTCAGTTGGTGACTCATCTCCACCTAAGAAGAAGTTCAAAGTGAAGACCAAACGCGCAGCGCAATCCAGCAATGCACCTAGAACACAGTAAGTCCCTCAGGCGCTTTTTTGGTAATGGATCTAAAGTCACCATCTTCAGTTGGCAAATTTATGAAGAAATATGATGGAATTATCAAATATTCTCTTTTTTGGTGGGGCTCAGCATGCCCTAAGAAAACTCTACTTTTTGCAAGCATTTTTAATTAAGGCTTTCTGAAAATATCCCTAGAAATTTACCCCCAGTCAGCAAATACACAAAATCTTTCCAAAATGTGGACAACTAGTCCACATTTTGAATGAAATCAAACTGGAAGTCTGCCATATTGAGTTGAAGGCACGATTGGGGGAAACATTTTCGGGCTTGTCCTTTGGAATATTGCAAGATAATTATTTGAAAGATTTTCAGAAAGTTTGATGGTCATATAAAAGATTAGATTAGGGGTGCCCATGCTTCTGGCATTCATTTGGCCAACTGGATCAAATGAGAAGGCTGTCTAGGTTTCCACGCCCAAAGCTTGAAAGCCACTTGGATGAAATAAAACCAAATTGCTTAGAGGTCACGTCTTCCACACAGCTGGAGCAGCCATATTTTTGCATAATTACACATCATTATGACACTCGCATGTCTGCCCTGCATTATTAAATTTCCAATGGGAGTGTGCATGTTGCAGGGGAAAAAAAAAAGAAGCCGTGGCAATACAAAGACATTCCTAACTCTCAATGCAAATGCAATGAAATACAAATTGAGCAAATAAAAATATTAGTCTGTTGGGTTCGTTTGACTATGAAAATATAAAGTACATGTATTTTGTTTGACAAACTGCTTGGAGACGGACCAATGAAATCGACCGCTGCGCCGCTGGAAATGTTCCACGAAGAAGCCAAAATTAATTCGGCGTAAAACGTGAATAGACACCTGACTTCCTTGTCAGTGTGTCAAACGTGGCGAGTCCCAATTTGCATTTGTCTCATAAAGGACACATCGCTTACTTGGCATGTGAATGGATCCATTCCCGTTTTTCTGCTCCACTCAACCCGCCGCACTTGCTCCGTTTCTAATTAATTATTTACCCTTGGGATATAACAAAGGCGGAAACGAGCTGATTGACACGCTTATTGGAAATATAAAAATCCACGCACGAGTTGATCAATGAATGGACGGGGGCGTATAAAAAAAAATCTTACCGTTTTGTCCCTGCGTAAAGGCAGCAGCGCACAGCAGAAGAATCCACAGCCAGTGGGTTTTATGATTCATTTGAAAGCCGAGTTTTTTTTGTTTTAAAAACGTCTTTGTGTGGTGGCGGAGGCACAAAAAGAGTACGAAAAACCGGCTTTGGTGCGTCTTGATCGGTCGGTCCGTGGCTGGTCGATATGGTGCGATGCGGCCTCACTCCGGTGACCAACACAAAAATGTATGAACGAGCGTCAAGGCGCTCATTAGAGTTTTAAATAGTTTCCTCCGTGTTCAGTCATCTGATCATGGGCTGATCTGCCGAGGCTCCGATTGGTCAAGCCCCCGTTTGTTTACGTTGGGGCGTGGCTTATTTGAATGAAGACGTAGTAAGACGTACTTCTAACGTTAGGCTTATAGAGGTGTGTGCAACCATCACACACACACACACACACACACACACACACACACACACACACACACACACACACACACACACACACGTACGCACGCACGCACGCGCACACACATGCAAAGGGAGAAAGGGAAGGCGTGTTGCATTGAAGGAAGGTCATGTATTTGTTGCCAAACAATGTGTAGATTGAACACGTGACTGGGGCGGGGGGCGGCGGCAGCAACATGCTTTTAACATGAAATCCCATTGGTGACTACAATAGCAGCCTGCACTTTAGCTGGAATGTCTTAAAAGCTTCATACCGAACGAAGGGGACCTGGTGGTGGTGGTGTTGGTGGTGCTGCAGTGTTGTGGGGGCACCCTGGGGCACCATCCCCCATGAAAGCCCCCCCCAACCCCCACGACCATCCTCCTCCTCCTCCTTTCTTTGCTTGGCCCTTCGCCAAACCATCAGCTTAGTTCACTTTCAATTGATGAGCTGGAGAATGGGCGCTACAATAACAATACTACTGTGTGTGTGTGTGTGTGTGTGTGTGTGTGTGTGTGTGTGTGTGTGTGTGTGTGTGTGTGCGTGCGCGCGCCCGTGCAGGCATCATCAGTCACCAACGGGGAAGTGTCACCTGCCACCACGGCGGTCCACTGCTCCTATATGGCCGAATTGTTAGTCAAATTTGTACGGGGCCGAATGAGGATCGAAACTGCTTTTTTTCTTTGGCAACATGAGTTGGCACAAAACCATTGAACAATTATCTCTACATCACACTGTGGAGTAGTGACTTACATGGTTGACTTGTATGCATTTGGTGTGGGGTCATTTCACAGTCAGTCTCCGTTTGTAGAGGATAGAGTAGTGATGTTCAATTTGATGGGAAGATCCATGCAATCTTTCTGTAATTTGAAAAACAATGAATGGCAATCAGTGTGTGTTCATGTTTTTGTTAATACCACATATGAGTTATATAGTTCCTCCTGAACCCCACTTCTTTGCCAGACCTGGCTAAAAAATGTGTTTGTATGTGTGATCAGATTTTTTTTTTTTTTATTGTGAACATTTTTGACCTACATCAGAGAGAAATGTTTGCCATTTACTGGGAAAAGAATTATAGCAAGTTATATCGGGAAAAATAAGAGGAAGTGTAAGCGATGCAGGTCAAAGAAGTGGTCATAGATCGTAGGTGGTAGCAGAAGAAGGGGGGACTGTCAAATGAGGCTACGCTTGTGAAAGAAGTGGAAGAAGATATGATGGCAAAATAAGCAGAAGATAGGATACTGGCACATAAGTTGTCAAAAAATGGTAGAAGTTATGCTGGATGTAAAAAGGACATAAAAGCCATGTTGGGATGTGGGCAAAAAAAAACAAGTAGAAGCTGTGCTCTCGCAAAAGAAGCAGTAGGGGGATGATGGCAAAAGAAATAGAAAGTTGATGGCAAAAGAAGTAGAAGCTATACTGGTGAAAGAAATACAATTTGATGCCCTGCTGGCAAAAGAAGGGGAAATGGAGAGGCTCTGCTGGCGAAGGACATAAGTGACACTCGCTAGGAAGAACTAGAAGTGATGCTGGCAAAACAAGTGGAAGAAAATAAAATCCATCACTTTGTCAGTTGACATCATTCAATTATCAACTTTGCACATTTGTGACGAAGACAGGATGCTCTTTACGAGCATTAAACGTCTTTTTTTTTTTTTTTTTTTTACCATATACGCGAGTGACTATTCCAAAATAATATGCCCTATTTATGCAAGGGTCAAGTGCAAATGTATTAATAGAATTTACAGCTTGTGAAATGATAGCAGAATGAGCGCGCTACTGTATCTCGGCAGAGGGTTGATATGAGGATGAGATTATGACATGTAATACGACGTGACACTAGAGCCACTCCACACTCTTCCATGAAAACGAATGGAAGAAGCATATGTTTGCGTTCTCGAAATGACGCATTGTATTAGGTCATGGAGACATCCTCTTTCTGTTCTACATCACGTTACTTTTTGAGAAACATCCCACATGTTCAATAGAATACTCTTTTTGGGGTCTGATGATCTGATGACTTTCATTTGCGTCAAGTTGAAATTATTTATTTGGTTTTTTTTTCCCAAGAATTCTTACTGTGCTCAACGATGACATCCGGTGAGTCGTTAAGACTCCCTCGTGCACGCATGAGGCACAGTGGTCGACTGGGTACAGCTAAATGAGTGGCTGAAAGGGTTTTAGTGTATCAGAGCAAACATTTTTGGACATTCAAAATATGTTTCTGATAAAACTAAACAGGCGGCATGCTGATGTATATATATATATATATATATATATATACAGTCAAACCTCGCCGGGTCTGGGGTCAATAGTCTACCGAAACATCTGTGCGGAGTATGGACTGGAAACCCCAAGGTCAAAATGGGAAACACCTCCGAAGGTGGTGGAGAATGACAGAACAAAGATCCTGTGGGACTTCCAGATCCAGACTGACAAGATGGTAATGGCGAACCAACCGGATCTCGTGATCATAGACAAAGGGCAGTGGAAAGCCGTTGTAGTGGATGTAGCGGTCCCAAGTGATGGAAACATCAGAAAGAAGGAACACGAGAAACTCGAGAAATACCAAGGGCTCAGAGAGGAGCTGGAGAGAGCCTGGAAGGTAAAGGTGACAGGCGTGCCCGTGGTGGTCGGAGCACTCGGGGCAGTGACCCCCAAACTAGATGAGTGGTTGCAACAGATCCCGGGAACAACATCGGACATCTCAGTCCAGAAATGTGCAGTGCTGGGAACAGCAAGGATACTGCGCAGAACCCTCAAGCTTCCTGGTCTCTGGTAGAGGACCCGAGCTGAACGGGGGACGGACACCACCCGAGGGGTGAGACGAGGATTTTTTTATTTTTATTTATATAAAATGTTTTAGTCATCATACATTCTCAGAAAACATAATTCTTTGTATTTCTTGGATTAAATGTTTCGTTTTCAGCGTGCAATGAAGAAAGTACTTGCTTCCCAAAAATGCTCGAAAGATTCACTTCTTTAATAAAGGACAGATATAGTGTTAAGAAAGCGAAACAGTATCAACATGACCTTAGGAAAGAGGAATAACATCGACAGATTCTTGCTTGAAATGACGTTTGATGATATTGAACATTAAACATTTATTTGGTCATCCTTCCATTTTCTATATGACTTGATCTCATGAGAGTAGCAAATGAGTTGTAGCCTTTATTCCACCTGATTTTGGGTGAGAGGCGGGAATATTATGTATTATCCATCGATCCATTTTCTAATCTGCTTTATTCACATTTGTCGTGGGCGTCCTGTAGCCTATTTCAGCCGTCTTCGGGCAGGAGGTGGGGTCCACCCTGAACGGGTTGCCAGCCAATCGCAGGGCACACAGAGACAACCATTCACACTCACAGTCTCACCTAGGGCCAATTTAGAGTGTTCAATCAACCTACAATGCATATTTTGGGAACGTGGGAGGCAACCAGAGTACCCGGAGAAAACCCACGCAGGCACGGGCAGACGTGCAAATTCCACACAGGAAGGCCGGAGCCCAGATTCAAACCCATGACATCTCTACTGTGAGGTGTGCTCACCAGTCATCCACCATGCCACTTATAGAATAGAACACAATAGAATCCGTCCATCCATCCCTCCCTCACTGCTTTTCTTATGAGCTTATCCTCACGAGGGTCGCGGGCGTGCTGGAGCCCTATACCACCTGTCTTCGGGCAGCATTAGGCTTACTCATGTTGTGCCGGTCCAGACGGCCGGTCGGCAGTGGTTTCATAACAATGACAACACCGCCATCCTGCGTCCGGATGAGCGATGAGCCGAGCGGTGACACAGCAGGAGGCGGACGGAGGGAGGGCAGCAGCTCACCGGATCCTTCATGAGGGAAGAGGCCAGGGACAGCCAGCCAGCCCCGGCTTCTCCTTCTCTTCACTAATATATTCCTCGTTTCGCTTTTGCGAGTCAGGCCCGAGCTCGGGGCCGCTTTCGGCTTCGTAGGATGTCCCGTCATGAAGGTAAGAAACTCGGACCCGATTTAGCGAGCAAGGTCGCCGTTTGTCAGAAACGTTGACGGTGCGGTGCGGGGAAAGCACCACCGGCTAAGGGAAGCTAACCGAGAATGTCTCACTAGTAGTCGCTGGGCAATGTTAGCAGCGTGGACGCGTGATGACAAACCAGTCAACACGAATGTCCGTAAGTTCAATGGTGAAATGATGGCTGACGTGCGTGTTTAAATGCTAACCGGAGTCGGAGACGACACTGTCAAATAGGCGGAAGAAGCCCCAGTACGTTTTGCTAAGTGCAGCTAACGCGCTTTAGTTAGCATGGCGGCTAACAGAAGCCCAAGCTCCGGGTTGGTTATGGTTACCACACCAATCTGAGGTGAGGATTGCCGAGAATTGGCAGCTGCGAGTGGGGGCGAGGCTCCTCTCGCACGTCGCTGGTTTCGCTTCATATCTAGACGCCTTGCTGCTCTTATAAAGTTGGCCCAGCTTGAAGAGCTTATGTGTGACAAATATTCAGTACAAGCATGCCCTTGCGGCCAACCTTGCCCCGGCTTCAAAAAGCCCGTCCTTAATATTTCCACCAGGCCACCTCAAACTTTAAGGGTACCCGTTTGAGATATTTCAAAAGTTGAATCGGAAAACACAACCTGGCTCATAGCAGCTCGTTCAGTCATCGCGAGGCTATTTAATCAGGCCCGCAGCGGCCCTGAACTAACGTGCACACTGTTTTAAATCATCTAGAAGTGTCAGGATATTGACAGTTCAGGAAAACTGAAGTTCAAAACTCAGCACTATGCATCATTATTACGATTGTGAAGTAGGAGTAGCAAATATCATTATAATCACCGTGAGAGCTGAACGATATTCATTTTTGAAGCAGGTACTACTCACACAATATATTTCCAGGCTCACCTGCATGAGGTGAAAATCAGCAATGCTCAGATCATATAAAATACTTTTTTTTTGTTTCCTCCCTCATGCTTTTAAGTATTAAAGTTAGTATATTATTTATATTAGTTATATTGGCCTGTGCATGCATATGCCTTTAAGAGGAGGGGCCGGTAAGGTGGCATGTGACTTAGTAAAATCTTGTTTGTGAGTGTCTGGGTGAGAGCTGTGGCTGACAGCAGTTTCTGTGTGAGTTCTATTCGTGTCTATGTTTTACTGATTCCCCGACATTCAATAAAAGGCTAATAAGTGCAGTGGCTGTCCTTTGCCATATGCGATGGCAACGACAGTAAGTAAAGAATATAAGTCACCGCTGATGCCGTTCTTGACACAAGCCACCTATTTTTATCTGGGCTGGGTAGCGGGACACTGACCGCGAATTGAACCTGTGACACTACTGGTTCCTACAGCAAGTAAATGCTGTAAAAACCCATTTTAAAAAAATGCTTGTTTAAAATTAGACAATAGTGTACAGTATGACTGTGGAGAATAAATGGTGATGCAGTGGGGTAACGCTGCACAATGAACTCTAGCTATTCGCGTTAGGGATCAACCACCTGTGTGAATACAATACAATAAATGTTTAGTTAAAAAGCTAATAAATGCGTGAAAATTAGCTTTTACTTGTATCGCGCTTTTCTTCCTACAAGGTACTGAAAGTGTTTTAACACTGTCTCCTCATTCACATACTACTGACGGAGCATCAGGAGTAACTGGCGCTTCGGTATCTTGCTCAAGGACATTTCAACAAGGGCTGAGGATTGAACCGACAACCTTTTGGTTGGGAGACGACCACTCTGCCACCTGAGCCATACCATTCCAATGCCGCGAGTAATTGATAACCCAGTCAAAATGTTCATAATTTCTTCTATTAATACAGATGCTCCCTTACTTGGGAATACATTTCCTTCCAGAGCAGACTCTTAAATTCCTAAGTCATTACTTTTAGGGCCTGATCGATATGGAGGTATTTATTTATTTAGGTGGATTCTGATATTTGGCAGAATAAAATTCCGATTGATCGGACGTTTAATTAGGGTTACAACAATAACGATATAAATTACAAGGCAAGGCAGAAAAATTGCGAATAGGTTCACCGTATGAATATTCCACCACTATTGTTTATTTAATGCATAACTAGACTGTTTCATCTACTTTCATCATCCTTGGTTTTATTTACCTCATAAATCAACAATAAAAACACAAATAAAAAGCAGATCTTTGTCTCTTAGTCTATCAATGATTAGCTGAAAACTGGCCTTAAAAACTGACACTGTTTTCCGTCCTTGTTTGTGTTCTCAGGGGTGAGCTGCGACGCGTGTTTGAAAGGCAACTTCCGGGGCCGACGCTACAAATGTTTAATCTGCTACGACTATGACCTGTGCGCGTCGTGCTACGAGAGCGGCGCCACCACCACCAGACACACCACGGAGCACCCCATGCAGTGTATATTGACACGGGTCGACTTTGGTGAGTGCTGCTGACAACGCTGCTCCAAAAACAAACTTTTGTGGAGAAGTGCCTTTAAAAATATTTTTTAAATTATTATTATTATTTTTTGTCATCATCAAAGGTCTCCAAAAGTACACAAATATCCAAAAATGACATCACACTTAACCTTCCCTTGTAAACTCATTTTACAGGAAGCTATTTCCATTAGTGGGGGGAAAAAACAAAAAACAAGGCTTGTTATTGAAGGCGACTTCAATATAAGTGAGGTGAGCTACTGCTGCTGGTGGCCAGCAAGCACGTCTCTCCACAGTCTGGGACTGCACTCAATTTGATAAGATGACAACGCTCTGTTGCGCTGCTCTGTTGCGCTGCTCATTCGGGACATCATTGAAACAGGAAGTGATCAATCTTTCCATTGTTACGATAGCGAAATGAGCGACCAAACACCACACATTTTCCTTTGTCTGGCAATGAGTCTGCACTTGAGAGTGGCTCTATAAAAGTTTATGAATGAGAGCCGTGAAGTAGTCCCACTTGCAGAATTTCAAACGTAGCAACAAGCGCTTGCAGCAAAACACAGCGAGGCGCCCGGCGGTCCTCACTCAAGTGATTGTGGTTGACTCGGTTGTGATTTGATAGGGAAAGTTGACAGGAAAGACCCAAATCAATGAATGTGCAATGGCTCCATCTCAGCTGTTAGATAATCAATGCTTGGCTTTGCAGTGAAACCCACTGAACAGATGAAATGTCGCAGAGCACGCTTTGGTCCCCGGCCGGTAATGCCTCGTCCCCTTTGCCTACAGACTTGTATTACGGCGGAGAAGCCTTCTCGGTGGAGCAGCCCCAAGCCTTCACGTGTCCCTACTGTGGCAGGATGGGCTACACCGAGTTGTCCCTGCAGGAGCACGTGGCCGCGGAGCACACGGAGACCTCCACAGAAGTGGTATGGCGCTCTCACGATGTATTAGCGTCATCAGATTAACAACATTCATCTGAGAATGTGGATTATTGTTTGGAAGTTACTGTAGGTTTTCAATGTGCGTCACGTGAAGGTAATTCAGTCCCTTTTTGACATCAACTTACATCTTGCGGTCCTTGTCTCAAAAATTCATAAAGAGATGCTAACTGTATTGATCGCCGTTGAAAGACGGTTGTTCTTCCCCTTTCGCTTGACATAGAGCGTAACCCACTGCTGACGTTGTTCAATCTGATTGCAAATTCAATATTATTTTATAAATAAAATAAATGTATTACTGTCAGAGGCAGCGTCGTCCGTCTGCTCAGAATATATTTCGAATCAAGTTGTACATAAATGTACTTTGTGACTTCCTGCATGACAGTACGATACGGTTTAAGTTTACACACTCGCGGGGCTCATCAGCGACACCGTCTTCCTCATAAGCTGTGCCTGACGTCTACAGCACGTGACTAAATCAACATTGCAGTAAGTCAAGCAGCCTAATTTTCCTAATCACACACCGTCAAAGCGCGCATGCGGCGTGCTCATCCCCTTCGTCGTCAGCATTTGCACCCGTCACCTGCAGCTGTTGTCGAAAGGTGCACATTTGACAACGGAAATGACCCAATTATTTTCCTCGTTCGCTTAAAAGCATGGAGGTAGCTCGAAGCTCAACGTCTTCTGAAACGCACAAGCCACCTGTCGCTAAATAACAGCGGGCTTCTCAACATGCCTCTTATGTCAAGGCAGCCTGTTGATGATGAATCCCATGTCTTAAAAATCCTCTGAAATGTCACGGGGATTCGCAATTATTACCGCTGCCAGCTCGGGAGAACCTCGTCCGCTTACTTCCCTGTTGTTTGTTGTCCCGCAGATCTGCCCCATATGTGCAGCGCTGCCGGGCGGAGACCCCAATCATGTGACGGATGACTTTGCTGCCCACCTCACACTTGAACACAGAGCACCCAGAGACCTGATATCCTTTTTTTTTTATCTGGACCACTTTTCCCACAGACTAATAATACTGCAGACTCACACACTGCTCCGTGTAGAAAGAGGTTGCTGCGAAGGCAGCGAGCCAGGAGGAAAGGGTGCGTAAAAAGACGAAGAGCGTTCAAAGTTTTACACTTAAATAAGAAGAGAGTGTGACGTGTCCAGTGCAAAGCAAAATTAATGTGGCAACACGAATGTCCACGATCACCAACATGATGTTTTCTCATTTCATATAGCCCATTACCGCTAGCTCTAACCTCTTTTCATGCCCCCACAAGTGTTGAAGGATTTTTTTTTGAGAGGAACCTTAATGTCGGCATCGCAGCTGCAAAACGTGACGCATCCTTCCGTATCCCTTTTGTGCGCTCGACTCGTCTGCATCTGCTTGGCGTGTGGCGGCGCTCCACTCCGGGGACTGCATTGTGGCGGCCTGTTTATCGAAGCACTTTGAATTAGATGCGGCAGAGGGGGAAAAAAAAAAAACACATTTGTGGCGAAGCATCAAAAGAACAAGCCGAGCTACTGTGTCGCTCTGTGCAAATTGCAAATTTACTCAGCGCGGGAGTGTGTGTAACAAATTCTGTTTGAATGAATCAGATGCACAAGCTAAGCAGCTAGCAGCTGTATCTTTATTATTATTATTATTATTTACACCGCATGGTTGAAGTGAAAAAATTCCCTGGTCTTCACACCCGCGCTCTTTGGCCCACTTAAAATGGAACCGAGTTTGTTTCACAGAGACACAGAGAAGCAATTAATCCCTTTGAACCTGGCGACAAGTGTCTTGTTTTACAACAAGCTACGCTGATGAATGAATCACCGGACTTTTTTCGCTGTTGCTATTTTACTTTGCAGCATCCGGTTGTAGTAATAGAAAAAAAAATGGCTTCCTTAACTGCGCTATTCACGACGAGTCGAGCGGCGTGCGGCACGTGAGGCGGATGTTCCACCCCGGGCGCGGACTGGGCGGCCCCCGTGCCCGCAGGTCAAACATGCACTTCACCAGCAACACCACTGGGGGGCTCTCGACCAGTCAAAACTCCTCTCAAAGCTCCAGTTACAGCCGGGAAGCCATGGACCCCATAGCAGGTACGTCAAGCACCAAACCACCGTGTCCTTATTGGTACAATAGTGGGAGCCCATTTTAGTGGGGGTGAGCGGCTGGAATTTGTCCTGTGAGCCCTGTGGGCTCCAGCTGTGCCATAATGAGGTCTAATGGGGACTCCTTGCCACCCACGGGGGCCATTGAGCAGAGTGTATTGTGGAGCTGCCACTTCAAGTCATTCCAAATGCAGACACAGTAGCCGAGAGACACGGTGTCCACACGACCTGAACATGTAAAATTGAAGCCAGGGATGTTAAACTCGGCATACTGTAGCTCAGGAGCCACATCATGCCTCATTTGGTTTGGGAATAGCACAGATTCTCTACTGTGAATCAGGATGACGCTCACATTTTTCCTTCGGCTCCTTCCCTATTAAATGGCAACCATTGAAATGTGTACATTTCTGGTTTATTCCCTGCGCATTTCAACAAATTGTTTCCGGTTCCCCACAGAGCTTTTATCGCAGCTGTCGGGCGTGCGGCGCTCGGCGGGCGGCCAGCTTAGCTCGGGCCCATCGGCCTCGCAGTTGCAGCAGCTCCAGATGCAGCTCCAACTGGAGCGGCAGCAGGCGCAGGCGGCGCGCCAGCAGCTCGAGACGGCGCGCAACGCCACGCGCGGCGGGCGCGCCAACGCCATCCTCAACGCCAACTTGTCCGCCGCCGCAAACAACCCCAACCTGAGCGCCAACCACAACAGCAATCCCGGAACCAACGTCGGCCCTTCGGAGAGCCCCCCTCAGCACACGGCGCACAGCTCCCACTTTCTCCTCAGCAGGTCAGCTTCTTGTAACGAATTCAAACCAACCACAATGAAGACGTATGCAATCGTATAATCGCTAACATTGCAATGTGGGGGGGAAAAAAGTCTTGATAAGTTCAGTGCTTAAAAAGTGCAGTAGATATGTGAACATATTGTTTCATGAAACATGAAAAGATGAAATGTGTTTACGGACACATAACGCCTTTTTTAATTAAAATTAGCTGTTTTTTTTTCTTCTTTTTTTCAACTATGTACACCCATCCAAATGACGTGAATGGTTTTTTTTTGTTTTGGTTTTTTTTTTTTTTGTTACCCATTCTGTCCACAGGCTGAGCGAAGCGCGCGTGTCCGAGGCTGAGCGTCAGGCGTGTGAGGCGCAGTGGGCGGATAGGAGCTTGTTCGTGACGGAGCTACTCCTGTCCACGCTTCTGGCGGAGCACCACCACCATCACCACCACCACCGCGACGACATCGACGACGACATCGCCGACCGCCGCCGCCGCCATCCCGGGTCGCTGCGCAACTTTGCTGACTTCCAGTCCATGGGCTGCATGGAGGTGATGACGCTGGACGTGGCGCTGGAAAACCTCAACCTCAAAGAGAACAGCGCCGCCGCCCCCCCTGCCAAGAAAGAGCCGCCTGCCCCGTCCCTTTGATGGAGCAAATAAAACCCCAAAACAAAACAAAACAAAAAAAACTGCGAATTCCCCCCAAAACCCTCACCCCCCGTTTTTGTTTCTTTTTACTCTTTCTTCACTGATTTTGTCATTTCAGCCCTCCTCCTCTCCCCATGTCCGTGTGTACGTGAAATATAAGTTAGACGAGTGAATGTGAGAGAGAACTCTATAAATCTATTATTAAAAAAAAAAAAAATGCAAAAGCAAATCTATATGAAAGTTGATAATCACTTAACTCACACGCTGGCCGCGAAAGAAGGCCACTAAATAAAACAAAAAACTGCTGTTACAAGCTAATACGCATGATCAAGCTTCATGTACACACTCTTGATCGACAGTTGCACTCGTGTCCCCCTCTTCTAGTGTCACCAGGGTTTCTAATGACTCGACACACTACAAGACTTTCTATCAAACACAACCATTCACTCGGACCTTTTTTTTGTGTGTGTGTGTGTGTGTGTGTGTGTGTGTGTGTGTGTGTGTGTGTGTGTGTGTGTGTGTGTGTGTGTGCGCGCGCGCGGTCTCCACGCCTGGAAGTGAAGGGAACCCCGCCCCTGTGTGCTCTGATTTTTTTTTTTTCTTGCCCCATCCCGCTAACTTCTCTCTTCGCTCCGATGGATGTGTGTCAGGCCTCATGAAGAAGACGTGCAATGTATGAACCTGTGGGCTGAGTCGACCTTTCAGTGCGGACCACAATAAACATGTTTTGGATGGAAATCAACTAACAAAATACTGTACTCTGTGTGTGCATGTACAAGGTTTAGAATTTGCGTGACAAAGCGTATGAATGAAGTGGCCGTGAGTGTTCAGTGCCATAATCATATATACGGTAGTCCAGTGCAGTGTGTGTGTGAATCAAATCCTGAAGTTCCACTTATGAGGTCTGCATTACCCAGAGGCCTTTGCGCCTTAATGTCCCGCTTGTAAGTCGAATATGGATCTTATATAAGCAAAGTGGTGGTGGACACAAAGAATATGAACTCCAAAAGTTGGGTCAGTGTAAAGGGTGCATTAAAACAACATGAAGACGTGTGGGTTGATGCTATAAATCACCGCCTGCCTGCAAGTTTCATTTCCCACATGATTTATGACTCACAAACAGAATTTTAGAGGTGAATACAAGGGAAAAGTATCTATTATATTGAAGTTCCTGTGCAATTTGTCATAAAGTGCCATTTAAATACCTACTTTGTGGGCTTCCTTCCATGAATAACGCGTTTATTTAAAAGTTAAATTTTGTTTCAGGAGAAACTTCAGAGAATTGGAGAAGTGGCTGAATAATTCATTACATCTTTAAATCGCAACAAATTTATTCTCGTGAAAGAACAACTTTGTCAGAAAATGTACTTGTTTTTACGACTTTTTGGTGTAAAACCTCCCAGATACTTCCATATGATATTGACAAAGTTTTGTCATACTTTTTCTATACTTTAGGTTTTTTCCTAATTTGACATCTTATTCCGCAAATTTACTCATCCTTTTCTCACAAAAATCACATTTTCTTTTCAATGTTTTCTTGCAAAAAGTTTTTTTTTTCAGAATTTTACTTTGTTTTTGCTTGATTTGAAATTGTCCACAAAAAACCTGCCTTTGTATTTCCACAAAATTGACAAAACCTAATTTTTAAATCTTACATTTGAACCGTCTTCAAGCAAGACACCAGGGACCCTCATCGAAGTAACTGAAAAGACACACAAAACTACAAAAAAAATGGTAAACCTAAACATTGGTATGAATGATTGGCTGGTGACCATTCCAGGGTGTATGGAAGGTTCACAAAACGTAAGAAGTCACGAAATAGAAAGAGGCAACACAGTGAAATATGTGTTCTTTGTAATTTTAATTCCCATAATTTAGTTTAAATGCAGACATTGTTTTTCCTCACTATAATCTTAAATAAAGACATTACAGTACGATAGAAGCAAATCAGAGTAAGAGTTTGTTGAAGCAGGCTACAGTTTTCTTTTTTGTTTTATTGTTTGTTAAGTTCACACATTAGACGTGATGCAGCGAGCGGACACGAAGTAGCGCTAAACATTCATAAGACGACACGCAGCTGGAAAAAGCCCGCAGGCCGGCCGAGGGCTGGGACCACCACGTTCTACGACGATAACGCACGCAGGTCAATCACGCTCAAATCGGCAGCTTCACGCAACGGAGACTATGGGGGGAGGGGCTGTCACGGCGGAGTGGGCGGAGCTACGCAGCAAAGCGCGACCGATGTTTTCGAGCAAGCAGGAGAAAAAAAAATTGCACATTCCGTCCCGCTGGTTGCTCGACTTTGAGGTCAACACAAGTTTGCATTAATCACAATGGGGAAATGTCACCCTCTGCTGGCAATCACATGACATGACTGCTAATTTGAACCTAGCCAATTTATTATTTTGATTAGACAGTGAACACTCGAATTTTTAATAACGAAAACATTTTTCCTTAACAGGGAAGTCAAGCCCAACATGTGTTTGACATTTTGCTGATGAACTCATATTCCACAAACAATATTAATCAGAATGCTGTGTTTAGACTAGTGGGGATGCATACAACATATTGAAAAGGAATAGATCACGGGACAAATCATAAACATTACAACAAAATCAAAGTTTTAAATTTTTACGAAAAACATATGGCTCTGCAGATAATTCAGATACCACTGGACAATTCTTTTCTGATTTAGACATTTTTGAGTAAAATAGAAATGTCTGTTTTACATGTATTTTAAAAACTACTGAATATACAAACACAAATATTGAAGCATTTGTTTGCAAAAAAATGAAAACCAGTCAAAAATATCAAAAAGGTTGGGAGTCTTTATTTTGGTCTCTTAATTCTTTGCGTTCATACTTTTGCAACATGTTTTTGCATTGAAATATTCGTTTTTAAATTATCTGTGCAGGTGTTTTAACGTTTTACAAGAGTGAATTGCCAAATTTTCTGAAGGAAAAATATGTGAAAAATCAATCAATGCATGGTGTGTTAGATTCTGAGTGTTCACTGTACTCGACTTTTTCATAAATATTGATTGCTCGGATGTTTTTCACTAGGAGCCATTTATCGTCTTTCTTTCACACACACTGCCACCAGAGGCCGATGTTTAACACCACTTAGGGCAGTGCTTCCCTTTTGACTTTTGAGGGCTGACATTGTTCCACAAAGACAAAACCACAAAACGGTGGTGGGAGTTACCAACAAAAAAGGGTGGGGGGTACTCGCATACTATCAGCCCACGCTAGTCGGTGGCTAACAATCCTCCTTTTACAGATGCTAACTAATTCCGACCACACATCTCTGACAATTCATTTTGTTCCATTATTGCTGTATTTGTGATCCCCCCCCCCGCCCCTGACACACGCGCGCGCACACACACAAACAGTAAAAGGTTGTGTCCTCACACACACTGTTGAGTAAAACTTTTCCCCAAATTGTGTCTTTTTTTTTAACACACGCCTCACCATTGTGTTCCATTATTGCTGTGATTACAGACCCCCCCCCACACACACCCAAGCAAAGAAATGAGTAAATGTCCAGTTTACCTTTTATCACGATGTACGCCAACTTTAACACCTTTTCACTCTCTGTTTTGGCCCAACCGGCTAAGCGGCTAACGCTAGCAAGATGGCCGCGGGCCTGCGCTATTTCCCCAAACAGGAGGGAAACAAAATTACAAAGTATGTCGTCCGCAATATCCAAACACAAACATGGGAGGTTCCGTTTGAAATTATCGGCAGCCGACGCGCGTCCCCAGTTAAAATATTGTAGAAAAATATATAGTTTTGATGAAAGCTCTCTTGTTAAAGTCTTTTAGTTGTCGCGCTCAAATGGCGTAGGGATGGTTAGCGTTACGGCAGCTACAAAAATAACACAAACATTTCTTCTCTCTCGCTAGACACTTCTGGTTCGTGTGAAAATGCTCATTGGCATCGTGAGGCAAGGTGACATTTTTTTTCCAGTCTTGATATGGATACAGTACTAACAAAGAGTAATAGGGCCAAGCTGACAAAACAAGAAAAAAGCAATTCATAAGGTAATGAAAGCTTAACGCGGGAATAAAGTTGCATATTATGAAGACAATATTATTAGTATAATTGTTCATATTTTGGACTTCAAAAAAGTTGTATATTTTGAAGATTAAAGTCACTATTATGAGTATAAAGTTGTAGATTTTTGAGGAAAATGATGTCTATTTGAGATTAATGTTGCAATATTACAAAAATAAAATTGGATATTTGAGTCACAATCCTGTAACATTGAATTCTTGTGTTCTTGGACAAAGTTTATTCAAATGGTCAGTATATGTTTGAGATTAAAGTTGTATACTTTCAATATTAGTCAATATTATGAGAATTCGGTGTTTCTTTTAGATTAGTTGTAATATTACACAATATTACGACAGTTATGTTTTTTTTCAATGCATCCGATTTTTAGGAAAAAAGTTTTAAGAAACTCATATTTTCAAGAGTAAAGTCACTTATTTTCAATAATTAGGATGTATTTCTGTGATAGTTAAGTTGTATACTTTATAAATTAAGTCTTACATTTTCAAGCTGTACCGGTAGTCATTTTTACCAGAGCTAGATATTTTACATTTTAGTTGAACGAACAAAATAATATTTTCATTAAAGAAGTCTTTCTTTAAAAAAAAAATTCCTACATTTTTTTACTAATTCATATTTCCCTAAGTTATATATACAGTATTCTATATTTGTTTTTAAATGTCTTTTTTTTATAGATTACCAAAAATATCCAACTCCATTCTTGTAAAACTCCGATCTTCTTATCTTATCTTAATCTCGGAGAGCGATTATCTATTTTTCAACTGGCCCTAATACTCTTTGGTAGTTTACAATGTAAACACCACAGTACGAAATGATTGAGCACGAAGGAAACACAGCGTGTCACAAAAGGCAAGTGGCTACCACGTAAGCAAACATTTGTTCATGTTTAAAAATTAAAATTAAATTGAAAAAAAAAAACCCCGAAACAAAACACCAAAAGCAGCTTGATTATGCTCGGATAAATTAAAAGAAAATAAGATTAACGCTTTTGTTCATCTACGGATCACATGACCCAGTTGAAAAGCTGGTGATGATCAGTACTGGTGAGGTCATTCTACTTGCTAGGAGTCAAACAGCAGGTTTGGAGGAGCTACACACGTGATAAGTAAGCTCTGCATATTAATATTGATATGAATAATAATACTGTACTATTGTTTTGACATGACACATTGAGGCATCTCGTTGGAGCACATTTGTCACGTGACACCAAACGGATAGAAAACAAAAACAAGAACAAGGCAGATATGAGCATTTTTTTTTTGAGAGTTTTGGCTTCCCGCTGCACCTTACACCTTTTGAAAAGTCGTCATGGCGATTAAAATAGTTGACTTTGGCACGGTGACTCGTAAGAGAATCACCTCTTTTTTTTCTTCAAATACAGCCGCCTTTAACTTAGCAGCAAAATAGGTCCTCTTCTTTTTATTCGATTGGTGGTTGGCAACCAGCAAAGCGGCGCACTACTGCCACCTATTGTGACACCTCGATATTACACCAAGGAGCAAATTTTCTCTTCTCATAGATGAATTTCCCACAAAAATAGCAAAAACGAAACATACTCTGAATATGATGAAAAGGTGCAGAGAATAACCCATTTCCCGACAGTTTAAAAAAATACAACAAATCATGAGCCACCCTCCCACCCCACTCGCTCAAACTCTTGAAGGTCAGTATTTACAGTACAGATTTACGGTATAGTACATCAAAAATCCATCCAGACACACACACACGCACACACACACACAAAAAAAAAAAATCAACTCCGTAGTCAATTATGATTTTTTTTCTTTGTATGGTATCGTGATCGAAAAATAAAGACGCAGAGACAGTCTGATCAGCCCTCGATCGTCATCATCATCACTTCCTCCACTTGTAGCTGGCTAACGTGAGATGGGTTGGTTGAGCACACGAAATCCCGTGTCATGATAGGAATAATATGTACACTTTTTTTTTGTTGGAGTAATAATTGCCTCAACCACGTTTTGCATTTTTAGGGACGGGAATTTGAGCTGTATGTACAGTACTGTAGATTTTGAACCAACCCTCCTCACGGCCTTTTTATTTTTCTGCTTCCTTTACCTCCGGCAACCCAGTAAGCAAGCACCTCTCTGGACTTCCTCTCAGACTTGCGGGGCCTCCTTGGCGGCAGCGCCTCTCTCCCTCACACGTAGGGCAGGATGCCGTAGACGAAGACGGCCATGACGGCGGCGCTGAACAGGCCGGCCACGGGCACCGTGACGAACCACGCCAGGAAGATGTTCCTGAAGAGACGCCAGTCCACCGCCTTCCTGGAGCGGATCCAGCCCACGGCCACCACCGAGCCCACCTGCGGGACCACCGGGGGAGGCAAGCGCCAGAGAAAATGCTGTCAGCCGTCACACTATGGAAAGCGCAAATACGTCACAACAAGGACACAGCAGGGAGCTGCAGGCTGCTTTTTAATTTTTATTTGCATTTTACTTATTTAATCGACTTTAATTAAACAAACCTTTAATATTCCCTACACAATGTTAGATACTATCCATCCATTTTCAACACCGCTTATCCAAAAGAGGGTCGCGGGTATTGCTGGAGCCGATCCCAGCTGACTTTGGGCTGAATGCCAACTAAACCCTGAACTGGTCGCCAGTCAGTCACAGGACACATACAGAGACAAACAACCATACAAACCCACATTCACACCGTCACTGAGTGGGAACCGATCCCACGCTGGCCGCACGCAAGTCAGGCGAGTGTACCACTACATCACCAGCGACTCTTAGGTACTATGTTAAATGTCACTGAAACATTTACGAGCTCTATATAATTGACTTTTTTGTTTTTCACTTTGTTCTTTCTTTTATCTGGCGGAAACTGTCTTCCATACACCTCCCTCCTACTTTCATATCATTTTATAAAACAATATTATGACATAATTTAAAAAGTGGTCAATCAATATCTTATGAAATCGAAATCTATCTTTGGAAATATTTTATGAAATAAATGTATGTTCAACACTACATTTTTCAGTCGGTCCTTTTAAATTAATGAATTAACAAATTGAAACAAAAGTAGAAAAACAGCCTGCAGCCTGCCTTTAAACTTCAGTTTTATCCGTGCTGGTTAGTTTGAGCAAGCCGGTTAAATAATTTGTCACATGTTGTATAAATGTAACAAGTGGAAGTCTGAAATCAGCACTTCTGTTGCATCAAATTCAAATGTTTATTTTCTTCTTCTTATTCTTTATTTTACTTTGAACAACACCAAATAGCTCATGTCAGACCTCCACTGAGCCTATCTCCACTCACCTTCCTTTTGCTGCCGTCACAGAATCAAAGGAGTCAAATTTTACAATCGCAAGAGGTCACATGACCAGAATGTGCAATGGCCGCGGGTGCGGTCACAAGCCAAGGAGGATGTGTTCGCTGGCACGCCGTTTGTGTTTTGGACCAAAGTGCCAGTGCGTGACGGTGCAACGACAGAGGCCAAACAAGATTTTGTTTTGATTTGAAGCACGCGGCGATGAAGCGTCAACTTGACGCGACCTCTGTGCCGCTGACAGCCTGCCAGCGGTCATTGCACATCATCGCAGCATGGAGCAGCTCGAGGCGCCTCATCAATCTGAGGCCACCTGGGGAACGGCCGCTCAAGCTGTCAACACTGCGTGGAAACTATTTTTGAAATTCTGTTTAATTGCAACGAAAAAGAAACAAACCGAGATATCCGTGTTCCTCTTTCAGTCTGACAACTTCAGCGGGTTCCCCAGAAACCAATCAATCAAATCACAGTCATATGACTCAAAACATCAGAGAGTGAAGCATTTTGCCATCAGGGTGTATTAAGGAGTGAGCCAGGAATGTGAGGGAAGTGGTGATGTCGATGAATTGACATATTAGTGCTCAATTAAGTACCAGTTTTGACGTTTGTGCAGTTTCCCCCCTGCCAGTCATCTGAATTTACAAAAGTGGCCATTTTTGCCATTCTCGTTGAGCGAGAATTTAAAAAAAAGGTGCGATCTTTAAACACCATTAAATGCCTAACGAGAAGAGGAGCTTACATTTTGTTTCATTCAACAGATCTCACGAATCTCGTCGCCTGCTGCTTTATTTTTTACAAATTATTGACCAATCTCAAGTGTTGAAAATGGCTCAAGCTCTTTGACGATGTAATGTTAATGGTTGACCAAACCTGATGTTAACAGGAGACCCCCCAAAGTACAAGGATTCCGCCCACCACCAGCGGCACACATATAGGGCTGTGCATCTTTCAATCGCTCAATTTTATTTTATTTATTTTCTGAAACATCACAACTACGAATTACAAAGCATTGAGAAATCTGTGGGGCACAATTTTAAAAGATCCAAAAAAAAACCAATGTGCTCCAAAAAAAAAAAAAGGGAAGACATTTCTCTAAATCAGTGTCAAAATTACATTTAGGGACACATAAATCTTCTCGGATTAAAATTTCCTGTTGACCAGTGTTATTATTTATGTCCCCTGATTATTCTATTCAATCAGTTAATTGTCTGCCGTCTTGAGGAAAAAAAACTGCACAAAGGACCAGAACCGCAACTGAGGAGCTGTGATTGGCGATTTCTTCATCTATGTGTGACACTGCGACGCCGAGCTTTGTTTAAAGCGCGGCTTCGCGATAGGAGGCTGGGATACCTTGCAGTGGGTGGAGCTTATTGGGATGCCCACATTTGATGCAACAAGCACTGTTAGCGCACTCATTACTTCAATGCAAAATCCGCTGTGAAGACAGATGAGGAGAGAGAGAGCGGGAGAGATAGAGACAGAGACAGACAGAGAGAGCGAGAGAGAGAGAGAGAGAGAGAGAGAGAGAGAGAGAGAGAGAGAGGGAGAGAGAGAGCGAGGGAGAGAGGGAGAGACAAACATGGAGAGAGATGGGAGAGGTAAAAAAAAAGTGGAAAACAAGTTGTGACAGGTGGGCAGGGTGGGCTATGCGGTGGGGAGAGGGGGGGGCGGTCTTTTGGCGGGGGAGGGTCTGCTTCGTAACCAAGCACAGGAGGGTGGAGGGGCCCACACGCCAAAACCATGCGAGTGCTGATAAGGAGAAATGGAAAAGAGGAATGAGACAGGATGAGACACCATGCTGTTTGGAAAAGGGGGGGTGGGGTCATCAAGGATGACCTGGGGTGTCTCGTATGGTCCGGTCTGGTTCCGACATTCCTGTAAAGAGGCGGAGGAGAGGGGCCGCACGCAGATCTATAAGGGGCTACCAGAATCCAGCTGCATACAATCCTTTTGGAGCTTGTGATGATTGTCAGCGTTGGAGCAATTTGGATTTTTTAATTTCACAATTATGAACTCATAATCTAATTACAAGCCGTCATTTTTAAATACATGTGAACCTCTTATGATTATAGAATTCTGCATTTGATCAAGTCTATAAAGTTGCATTTTCTTAACCCTTTCATGCACCCTGAAACCTGATGACATGATAAGCGGTCCACTATAGTAACCGCTGTCCCTAGAAAGGTTAAATTCCAACCACAGTTGAGCATGATTCCCTGGTAAGAATGTTAAAAAAAATTATAATAACATTAGACGGCAATTCTGGGGCGTCAATCACATTTTAGAATGGATTGGGTTCAACCTTGGAGAAGAGAAAAAAAAAAAGAGTGAAATCCAGTTCACCCGAAATGATGCTGATGTACTTTGGCCTGAACTTTGTGTGCTTCTAAGCCTTAATGACTGGTGACCCCTGAGGAAGTGCGTGCGTGCCCTCGCACCCTGAACAAATCCTGCAAAGGGACAAAAACTTGAGTTGAGGGGCCATCGAGGGGAGTGGGGGGGCCCCACTGGGTTGTCATACCTTGCAGTGTGTGGTACTGACAGGGATTCCGATATTGGAAGCCAACACGACTGTGAGTGCGGACGCCAGTTCAATAGTGAATCCACTGTGGAGGGGGGAGGGAGAAGGAGGAGCAAAGACACATTTTTCATTGAAAATGCCCACAGCGTGTGGTGGGGTAGCGGTGGTGTTGAGGTGGGGGGGGAGGCTGCCCGATGGCACCGCCTGGCCACATTCCAAGCAAGCACGCTTAAAGTGCGAGTCACGCAATTGCTATTTAAAATATGCGTAAATGTGTGAACACACACACACACACACACACACACACACACACACACACACACACACACACACCCACACACACGCAAAAAAAAAAAACAATACCTGGACATCCACTAGATGAGTGAGTCCCAACAACTGTACCGTAGCACCCAAATACAGCGTGTATGAGAGATCAAGTATGCCACAGAAAACGATCCAATTGGGCCTAATTAGTTGAAAATGACCGTTTACGACAAATCATGTATCTTTGTCCATCGACAGACGTAAGCGACAGGCAGAACAGCAGTTAAATGCTCTTCCATTCAATGGGCCTCGGAACAATTCAGCTCTGTATCCACCTGTTGCCATTCATACAATGGAATAAGAGCTTTGCCTTCAACTAAACAGGCCCGGATTTTATACTCAATACATCAGCGTAAATTGGGGTGGGTTGTACATCAGAGCAAATACTTTTTGATGCAAATACCGTATTTTCCACTTTAAAAGGCGCAGTGGATTATGAGGCGCACCTTCAATGAGGAGCCAATTTTTTTCATACACTGGGCGCACCGCGTTATAAGACGCAATCTACAATGCATCCACTAGATGGAGCCACGCTCAAGGAAATACCAACAGAACAATCAGATGTCAGTAAAATGTATTTAATAAAGCAGCAACACAGTTCACTTAAGCAACAGCAAGTTATAACATTGACTCATTAACATTGAACTCTCTTGCCACAGCTCTATTTCCGTGTTCACCTGCGCAACCGATCGCCTGAAGTTTGAACTCTGCGTTGTCAGCATGTCTCGAGCAAGTAGCCATTTTGGGGTCGAAATATTACCGTAATGACCATACACAAGGCGTATCGGATTTTAAGGCGCGCTGTGAGCTTTTAAGAAAACGGAAGGCTTTTAGGTGCGCCTCATAGTATGGAAAATACGGTACTACAAGACCCAAAAACTATGAGTTCCCAAAACTTGAGGTGGCTTTCGTGAGCTATTCCAAACAGAGCCTTCAGCTCAAAACACTCGCGTCTGTGTTGTATTCACACCAAATAGACTCTGCTCAAAGGAAGAAGAGCACCATGACAAATCACGTGACTTAGTTGTCCATCTTTTCACGTCTCCTTGATAGTCACGGCATTGACCCAAATAGTACTAACACCAAATATTGAGTCGGATGACGTTCGTTTCCCCAGATGCTCCACCGCTGCAAGGCATTGACTCATTGACCCTTCTGATGTGAAAGACGCAGTTAGCTGTCCTAAATAATTCAAATAAAAGCGGTACATGTATTTCTTGGCACAGCAACATTGTTTCATAATGAATACACCCCATTCCGTGGGACCGTCGTTCAACTGTAGGAGTGTGGGCGCTGCGCGTTTCTTCTTCTCAGTGGCTCACTGGCAAAGCCGTGTGAGAGCGGCAACGATCGCTGACAATGAAGAAAATAAATGTTTCCGTCCATTAAACTCTTTATCTAGCCGCAATGTGCATCTGCAGTGTCGGCGCAAACAAATGTGAGACCGCATAATAGAGGCACAACCAGTCAAGCCCATTAACACACTGGCCTGCCCTGGCTCCCACACAGCGAGGCATGGAAACAGACACGGGAGGAAGGAGCTCCTTTGGAACGCCGAACCAGAGCAAATTTGCCTTTGCGCGTTGGCAACAGGCGGTGACGGTGATGGAAAGGGAGGGAGATTAGGAAAGAAAAGGAAGGAAGGAAAGAAGGTGCCAAAGAGAGAGGAGACATGGAGAAAGAGGGGAAAAAAATGATGAGACAGCAAGGCCGTGAGAATGACTGGGAGATGATATGGGAAGGAACGAGATTTAGAGGTGAGGCACGAGGAAAACAAAACGACGAGGAGGGGAACGAAGGGAAGAGGAAAGGAAGAACATTAAACACAGACTGAAGAGGTTTAATGGACGGGGCATGATGGAATGAAGAAAAGTGGGAAGAGCAAAAGGACGAGTCTGTCTGGTGTCCCTCGTCTGGTACATGGACTGAAGCCAGCGTTCCCAATGCGGTGCCTCCCTCCCCTTTCCACTTGTACAGTTCACTTTATCCAGAAGGCCAAAGTAGTTCCTGCGGCCTCTTGTGATGCTCCGACACAAACAAGCATGCGCATGTCAAAGAAGAATCCTTGAACAGTCATGACTAATATTCATAAGGGCTGAGCTTTCAAAGAAACGCCCTTGACGGATGAAAGGGAAAAAAATGGAGTGACGTGTGGCCGAATTTCACTGCAGGAAGAACATTTTTCACCGTAAAACCTTTAGTCTGAAAAGAAATAATGTTACAGAAAAAAAAGGAGGGGGGTGGGGGCTTAGTGTTCAACAAAAAAAATTGCGACGCAAATCCAACCTAATGATTCTTGTTGTGAAATGTGATCATGCCAGCATGGTCAAGCAACTCAATGACTGGAAATTCGCTGAACGCACCCAATCGAAACGTCACAAAGTCGTCAAATTAGCTGCGTTCGCTGCTGGTCGCTCCGAGTATTGAATTCAAGCGCTTGTTCATTTCCAATAAGGTTTGTCGCCGTTCGCGTCCCGTAGAAGTCGAGTCCATTCCAAATGACTTTGGAGTGAGCGGCAAGGTCCGCCCCCCGGACTCTTTGCCAGCCAATCGTAGGGCACAGATAGACAACTCATTCAAACTCATATTCAGAGTGAAAATTTTGAGTTGGCAGTGAAACTAACATGCATGTTTTTGGAATGCGGGGGGGAAGGGATACAGGAAAAAAAAAAACCTACACAAGCATGAGGAAAACACGCAAGCTACATTGCGCTGTTATTGCACTTGAAGCCATAAGCTTAAAAATAGTGGACAAGAATGTTCCTGAGGCAGGCACACATAAATTTACACACCCAAAAAAAAACCCCACACATACCGGCGAGGTAAAAGGCAAAGCAGGCATCAATAGGGAGCCCGCAAGAACACATCGTCAATGTGCGCTGACCGCTGTTTCGGTCTCAGGACAGAGCGAGCCCTTGAGCTTCTGATATATTCGTGATCATTATGTAACAAGTGGACAAACTGAAGAACAACATGCAGCATGTCACTCCCACTTCATTCTTTGTCTGAAGGCCAAACTAATGTTCCGGACATTAGAGTCCATTCACAAATTAGTGCAGCTTCATTAGTAGGCATTTGGAAATGCATTCAGTGGAAATTAGTCATCCTATTAAAGGTGATCTTAAATTAAAATCTTGGAAGTTGAAATGGGCTAATTTCCATTCCAGCCACAGTTAGTGAGTCAAAATAGATAATCTGTATGAAAAACAGTAAGCATAGCCACCCAACGTGTCTTCTGAATACGCCCACACATGCTGGCCACATTGCCCCCCCCGTGCGTTCTCTCTCACCTTGAAGGTGTGATGGGAGTCAGATCCTTCCCCATGGTTTGGATGACCCGGCGGCCCCACACCCACAGGCCGGCGCAGATGCCCACGCCGCCATAAAAAAGCAACCAGATGGGAGTGGCGGCGTCCTGCATCACACCACCCTGGTCATAGATCATCCACAGCGCCACCAGAGGTCCGATGGCATTACTGCACAAGGGGGGGGGCTTGGGGTTAGCCTTAAGGTTATTTGCTGCTGCTTGAACTAGGATATATTTCAATGGCATTACTGCACAAGGGAGGGGGACGGAGCTTGGGGTTAGCCTTGAGGTTATTTGCTGCTGCTTGAACTAGGATATATTTCATGCAATGGTCACTTGGCACGCTCTCTCTCTCTCTCTCTCTCTCTCTCTCTCTCTCCCTCTTTCTCTCTCTCTCTCTTCAAAGTACAATGTTTCCACATCTTGCCACATACAGGTATGTCCTATTGCAATGATACAGTGTGAGAATGTGACTTACATCGGGTTATAGTCAACTGACGTGTCTTCAGAAGCATCCCACTCGAAAACAAATTTCCTGTCATTCAGGTGACGCGTTCTGCGGCGTTTCTTCATCCCACCCAAGTAACGTTCCTGCAAGGTTGAACATTTTTACTGACTGTGGATTGTCACTGCAGGTCTGACTTCCACATTCTGATTTAGAGCCAACGGCTTTTTTTTTTTTTAAAAAACATTTATATGGCTTTATCTAGTTACATGTATCGTTCAAGTGTATTGTCTTCTTTGGCATTTGACTCAGCATGACTCAGATTTGATCTTAGTTTTACTGTTTGGTGCCTTCTACCATCTTTGTTACTGATTTATAGCTTTATTGTTCCACATATGTTAGTTGCCCCATGTACAGCACTTTGTATGCAGCGATGGCTGTTTGAAAATGCTCTATAAATACAGTTGAATTGAAGTGACATGTTTTGTGAGATATGAATGAATCCGTGAAACAACTCATATGTGGCAATGTAAATAAACTTGTCTTACAGAGGAGCAGCAACACTGATGTATGGTGAACTGCCTATAATAACATCCATCATTCACAAGTATAAATGGAATTGTAAATATAGGTTTATTGTATTCCTATGCCATGATGGCAGTGGGCTGTGTCTCCCTCGCTGAAACACAGAAATTGACTTTTTGTCTGAAAATGGGCACCAGCACACTTTTCCTTCACCCCCTAGGCATCTTCTCACTCTCTTGAGGTCTATTAAACAAGCAAGTCCAAAACTCCACATCCACCTCTCATGCTAAATCACTGTTGCATTTCTAATGAAAACATGTACATTTCCATGGTGGAGACAATGCATTCATGAAGCATTAGGAAAGTCCAACCTTAATAGCCTGTAGTTCTTTGCCTTTGTCTTTTTCCTCTCTTATTTTTTGCCGCCCATCGTCCTCTTCGTTCCCGTTGTTCTCCCTCTCTATCCGCTCTCGTCGTTCCCGTCTTTCTCTTTCTTGTGGATCCTCTGCAACAGACTTCACCGGTTAGTACGAACACCTCCACTGTGCAATGAACGACAGTAACTGACTGAGCCAAAGGATGAGACAAACCGAGCATTTTCCGTCCAATGTCTTGAAAGACCCTTCTCCTTTTCCTCTCCTCCTCCATCAGCTTCCTCCTCTCCTCGATCTCTTGCTCCCGCCGCTTCAGAGCCTCTGCCTCCCTCTCTGCTTTTGAAAGGAACTTTGGCTGAAATCGGGGGAAAGATGTGAGGAGGTGAGGCAAGAAATGCGCTGCGGGTCTATAAAAGCTAAGAGCAAGTGTTTTTCAGTAAACTCCCTACCTTTGCCTCTGCTTCTTCCTCTGCCTTCTTCTTGGCAAGAAGCTCTTCCAAAGATAATGGCTGCACCTGAAAAGAAGCGACACAGGTTTAACACTTATAAAGGCTGTAGTATAAAATCATCAGCGAGATCGCACCTTCTCCTTTTTCTTTTTGTCATCTTCTTCCTCGGGTTTTATGTCCTTCTCGCTCTTTAGCTTGGCATCCTTTGACTTGGGTGAGAGACTTCTTTGGAAAAGATAACAAAACAGTGTTGTAAGGGATTCAAGAGCATGTTTTATTCGACAGATTTTTTTTTCGATACCACTGATCCTCACTAGTGTCACTTTAAGCAAGAGAAGACGAGGTACACTCTGGACTGGTTGCCAGTCAATCGTAGGGCACATATAGGCACAAAATGACTCATACTCACATTCTCACTGATTTATAGTCTTCAATGAACCTATGAAGCATGTATTTGGAATTTTGGAAGAAGCCAGAGTACTATACAATACAATACAATACATGCTGATTTATATAGAGGAAAACCAAGCCAGGCACTGGAAGATTGTGCAAACTCCACAAAGGAATGCTGGATCCTGGATTTGAACTACCAACTCCAGAACTGTGGGGCAGTTCCACTATCACTATCACCATGCTGCTTCCATTACAGCAATGGATAATAAAAGGAAGAGGAAAAACTGTGGTTGCATGGTTGCAATGGCTGTCACTTAAAAATTTGCAGGAGTGTATAGCTCAAGTAAAACTGAAACCAAAATATGGTAATATCATCAAAAATATTTGGTCTCCTAAAGATGTGCAAGTATCTATGTACCTGGAGCGCCGACTGCGATCCTTATCACGCCGATGGCTGTCTCGGTCCTTCCGACTTCTGTCTCGGTCCTTGTCTCTGTCACGTTCCTTGTCCCTGTCTTTTATGCGGCGGTCTCTGAAGTCATCACGCGAGTCAAAAAAGGAGACAAGTTCAACCACAGCCACATATGAAATGCCAAAGCGAGCAGTGCTTCTCAACTGTTGCCACCCTGGCACCCTCATTTTCCTATTGTTGCAAAGTTGCGACCCACTTGTGTAGATGTTATGACGAATAAAGAATATTTTGTTTAAAGATAGCCTATTAAAACACATGTATAGTGTATAATATTTTCAAACACAGATTCAAATAGATTTGATATACCACCTTAAGAGGCTGAGGTCTACTGAATTTGTATTTGGAGTAAACTAGTGGCTAGAGCACGAGGCACCTACACTTCCAGTCGCTTACCTAATATGTTCCATTTGGGAGTTTCATACGCCTCGGTACTGTACCAAAATCGTCGAAATAAGAACACATGTATTTTTTATTTTTATTTTTAATTTTTTTTTTACAAGCTGTCCGCAATTCAGCAGTTGAGAATCACTGTTCTTAAAGGTGCTCCTATCAACATTGGGATACCTTTCGATCGATTTTGAGCGATTGCGTTCTCGAGATCGACGCCGTTTGCGTGGAGGTGATGGTTTCCGATCTCTTTCTCGTGAGCGGCTGTGTTTCCGCTCTCTGTCTTTGGTCCCTGAGGAGTCAACATCTTTCTTCTCTGAGGAATCGGCTGCCATCTGAATGCATAAACCTGGAGATGGTTGAGTGCACTGACTTTATACGAAAAGAAATTTGACAACATTCCTATTAAGCACAGTTAAGTTATACCCTTATTTCATTTAAAATGCTGCATGCTCGGGCCAGCGTGAAATACAACCAACACACGATCGGGCAATATGAACGCACGTCTTTTCGATAGGGGACTTCATTTATGCATCTCCCTCGTGACTTCCGTGTCATTAAGATACAAAACAAATAAACGCAGCAGTTCCTTTCAAACCACTGTTTCATTTCCACATTGTGATAACGCACTTGAGATGGTGAATGGCTGCAATGCGTACAGTGTAGAGCAACTGAACTAGCACTTGAGAGAGAGAGCAATTTAGCAACGGACGAATTATGTATCAGAAACAACACGAATGTTAACCACTTCTTTTATATTCAAACTAAGTGTTTAAATATATTATTGTAAGCTTACCGTGATGCCTTGTAAACAAAACACTTGCGATTAATGTACGCTTCAAGAAGACGCCATTTCGCTGGACCCAAGGGAAGGTGACGAGGTATGATGGGAATTGTAGTACTGAAGATCCATTGTGCAAGTTCTAACCTCAATGTTAAACTACATTTCCCTGCGAGAAGAAGCTGCCGTTTTCGAACACCTCAATGCCCGTTCAAAACTTCCTCTCATCTCAAGCACAAGGGGGCGACCGCGTTTTACGTAAAATGAATGTTCACTGTCAGAAACGTGCAAATTTTGTTGAAACTCAAAGCCACTTTTTACCCATAATTTAGGTATTGGTGTAAATTTGAAAGGATTAATTGAATTACTTGGCACCAGCATTTTCAGACAGGCCGTTTTAAGACGAGCGTGACAAATGGGCTATGTGGAAAGCTTGAAATAGCATGATATAATATCATGCTATTTTAAGCTTTCCACAGTTAACTATTTACATGATTATATATTACCTTTGGCATGATGGCGATCTAATTTGTTCTGAAATATGAGGTATTTTGGTGACAGAAGTGGAGACCTTGCTCACGAAAACCCACGTCATGACGTAATCCGCACCGTTCATAAAACATCAATCCATCCATCCATAGATTCATTTTGTGCACTGCTGTACTAAGCACATTATGTTTAAAAGGGTGTTAATAAGTTAAACGTTATATCGGCCAGTTTATTTTACTTTTTCATAGTTGTGTTGTCTTCTACTCTTCTTATTGAAGAGTATATGTAGTTATATGAAGTATAATATGTTAAAATAGAATTACCTAACTTCAGCCTTTTTTATCCAGGTCTTTGTTTTCAATTGTTAAAAAATAAATAAATAAAATAAAATTCAATATCTATCGATATCGACCAATGTTAAATACTTATGTCGTTACTCGTTATACCCTTATTCAGTGATATCACCCAGCGTTAATTAATGCTAATATTATGCCATCAGACAGCTATGGCCCCTCCATCAGGTTTGCTTGTGGGAGATGCGACAGTTTAAAGGTTTAATCTTCTGGCCAATCCAATTTGGTATTGGCCAAGGTTCACTCGGCAGTCCTCTGAGAAATGATCAATCATCGACAAACTGGATGGCCTGTCGGCGAGGAGTGCGCCTTCCTCGGACACGCATTTGCGGGCGAGCGCATGGAGGTGGAATTTGAAAAATTTCCAAGCAACGGCGCCTTGACGAGAGAGCTGCTCAGAGCACCTCTTACCCAGGTACACTTGTCAGACATCCCACTGGCTGCTCAGAAAAAGTGGGTGTGGTGGTCTGTAGGGGCAGGGGTAACTCACTCAATCTTACACGTATGAAACCCAATAATTTCCTTGGATTGAGTGAAACTGGTGCTTTGAGAGCAGGAATGAACAAGAATTCTCAGAGATGTGTAAATGGAGGAAAACACCGCTTCGTCTTCCATGAGGTGTATAAGCCATGAAAACCAATCACTCGTCAGAAGCGCAAATGGCTTTCAAATCAACTTTTTAGAATTAGAATGATACGAGTGATTACAAATACAATCCATGGCAACTTCCATTTGATCAAGGCGGATGTCCCTGCAGACCAAAAAAAAAAAAAAAAAAACTGCTGCAAACATGCACATTTGTATGACTTGCCTACTGGGGTTAACTGCTGAAGAACAAACACAAACATATTCATATATGGGAACTTATTTCTGATATGTACTGTGAAAATAAAAGCATGGGAGGGAGGGGAAACTGAAATTGTGTGAGCTGTTGTGCCACTTGAAAAGCTCACACTGATAATCAATAACGGGGATCATCTCAGACAGGGAAGCCCATTAGACACCCACGCGGCATTTCATTACCGCCGCCAAACCCACTAACTTTGCTCCATTCCAATCCACTTCTATAAAATCTTCCCGCCCCATCCGTCTCCCTTTCACTTATTAGAGCGGAAAACTCACAAAACGAAACGACAATGTTACACATAATAGATGCAGCAGAGGGACTTGGGTGGGCGTTTATTATCCATATAAACGTTTCCTCTGTCCCAATTAGAAATTGATAGGTTGATAAAAGAAACTGAGAGGTGAACATAGGGCAGCGCGCTTTCTCGGGGGACACTAATTAGCTCTTAGATGCATTTTTTTCCCCTGATAGACAGGGGATATTAACCTCCACGCCAGTAAAATCCCTTGGCTAACCACAACACCAGCTCGCCCCCAGTCAAACAAAGCCATGAGTCATACTTAAAGTGCACAATAAGTGCTTGAACCACCTTTAAAAGGATTCAAACATACTATAGGTACAACAATTAATCAAATTAATTAAATTATTTTGATAATTCCTTGGAGTTTTAGCCTCTCAACAGTAAAACTTCAAAAGAATGAGTATCTCAAACACAGGTGTCAAATTGTGGGCAAGATCCAGGCCTCCGCATCTGAATGTGTGCTTTTAGTACATATGTTAGACTGACATTATTTCCTATGTGAGATATCGCTTTGGTTTTCGTACAGTTTAGTCTGAGTCGGGACTTGGTTACACTGTGTTTTAAACTGTATTTTTAGGAAGGGGTGAGGGGAGAGGGTCTACAAAATAAGGAACGGAATTTTTTGAATGTCAACGTTGCACTATATTTACTTATATCTGTCTTGATTTGGCCCAAAAAACACACAATGACCAGTGATGCAATATATACCAATCATCTATATACCGAGGCGACAAGTTTTTATTGCTTTCTGTTCCTAAAAAGGCATTTAGAGCCCGGATAACCTGAAAGTAACTTCACTCGACCAAGGGCCATACAACAGAACCTTAAGATTTGAAGACAGAGCCTAAAACACCCCAAAACTGTATTTCTCACAACTGTTTTTTTCTCCCACCGGGTTAATTCATGAGAAAATGCTTAAACCCACAACAAAAGAAAATTACACACATCTGCAAGCCATTATGTCTCATCGCAGAGTGCAGCAGGGCCACAAATACAGAGAGAATACTGTATATTGTGGAGTGCGGAGTGGAAAGTGCACATAGAGCTGAACATAATCGAAAGATCTCTCTCCAACAAACATGTATTGTATTGTCAGTTTGCTCCTAACGCAACACAACCTAACCATGCTTCATCTTCATCTGTGGTGAAGGACACAGTGAGATTACCACGGATTAGCCTGTACTGTCACGCCTAAAAATACACTTGACACGGTGATACTTGATGACAGAATACATATTTTTTCCCCTCTCATTTTTTTTCCCGGGTTGTCAGACAGACTCGTCACACACAATTACAAGAAATAACAGACCTGCAGTGTTGTCATGGCAACTGTCCATCACTCACCAGTTACGTCTACAATCCAATGAAATCCATCCATCCATTTCCAACAGCGCTTATTCTAACAGGTTCGCGGGGAGTTGCTGTTGCCTATGCCAGCAGACCTCGGGCGGAAGGCACACTAGACCCTGAACTGGTCGCCAGTCAGTCACAGGGCACATATAGAGACCAGTCACACCCACATTCACACCGTCACTGAGTGAGACCCGTCCCCATGATGCCCGCACATACGTGTACCACTACACCATCAGTGACTCTAATGAAATCAAATTTTTCTATTACCTTCACTTATTTTGATTGTATGTGTTTTTTTGCAAGTTTGTTTGCATTGGTGTGCAGGTTTGCTTAAAAAAAATCTGGTGCAGAAATTTGGTCCAGTTGGTATGGATGCAGTGTATTTTAAAATGTAATTTTATTCAACGCAGAGTCAACTTTGATTGGAGGTTAGTCAATTTATCCACAGGTGTCAAACATTTTCCACTGGACTCAGTCCTACCTGGTGTAAATGGCATCCAAAATGCCCAAATTGGCCGCAGAACTGGGGACATAGGAGCCCATTTGAGCCATAATGCAGATCAGGGCCACTTGGCGGATGTAGGAGCTCTTTCCCCCCATGTTTGGGCCAGTGATGATCATTGTTCTTTGTCCATCCGCCTTTAGTGAAGAAGAAGTCAGGAGTTGTAACAAAAGGAAAAAAACGTACTTGGAAGTGATATACAGTCAAGGGATATTTGGATGCTAAGGAGGTGGGAGGACTTGAAGCGTTGGCTTGTTAAAACGGAAACCCACTCAAATAGTGACGGGCAAAGTGTGCTTGTGCTGTTATCTACATTCGTGTGTGTGTGTGTGTGTGTGTGTGTGTGTGTGTGTGTGAGTGAGAGAGAGAAAGACATATGTGCTGCTGGCATTTTCTTTCGGCAATGTGAGTATGCAAACATCTGTGTGATTTATCTTAGCTTTAGGTCAAAAGCTTTTGCACGTTCCTGTCTGTAGACGTGTGTGTACCTGTAGCTGCGCATGATTGGGCACATACTGGCTGTGCTCTCCCATGAGTAGGTCTATAGCGGGGTGTCTGCCATCCTTGATCACAATTTGACGCTCACTGTCAGACACCTCTGGCCTGCAACAGAATAAAAAGAGAAAATTATAGAGGTGACAGTTGCAGTTCTGAATAATGAAAGGAATAAAACTAATGGCGAGATAAGCGTAAATCATGGGGGGGAAGCAGGGAGGAGAGAATGGAATTGACCAAGGTTGGGGGTAAAGGATTGAGATGGCAGGTGGAGGGTTTGGATTTATGAATGACATGAGAGGTTTGGGAGGCATCAGGGAGGCAGAAATGCATGACAATTTTGGGCTCAGACATTTCCTTTCTGTAGTCATTTCATCATTCATGTTAATTGAAATGTTTTTTTGTGTGAATATTGAGCCCTTTTTTCTGCCTAATATTAAAAATGCATTTTTTTCAATATTTGTTATTTTCGTAGCATTTTAATCTCTGCTTTTTTTCAGTGTGGTCTTAAAAATGATTTGGCACCGCAGCAAGGATTTTTCAGTCAAGGTTTTATATAATAACAATCGTTCTTCGGGTTGTATTTGGATATAGTCGGTGTGTGTGTGTGTCTGTGTGTGCACAAGTGTGTGTGTGTCAGTGAGTGGGACAAATGTTGGCGTTCTGGCTGAGCACGCTGCTCAGCCCAATGCACTCACCCACGCACCGCCTGCCCGATACTATAGGACACGACACTGGAAACATGTATGTATACACACATGCGTGCGCGCGCGTGCACGCACGC